CAACACTCCTAAACACTGAACACACATCTATTTCACCCAAAATAAATTGCTTATTTTAGCACTAATTTTGTTAGTCCTGTGATATTTCACTTTTGTCTACACAGCTTACATTTTTATGTCCCTCTGAGTTGCTAATATAGTATGCATAATTCAGAAATGATAATCTCTTCATATCAATACTTTTTTATAGTGCATGAGTATTATTTGAAATATATATGAATGAACTCTGACCACAGAAGACTAGGTTCATGAAGCTTTATTTTATTTAATTACATGTTTTGTTTCTACCTTTATTATTATTTTTAAATAAGTCAAGGCAATGTACTTAATTCTTCCTCCTACTTTTGCCACAACAACAAGCCAGTGAGGTGGATTGCACTGAATCACCAGCACAGTCACCAGCTGGCTCTCATGCCTAAGGTGGGACAAGAACTCAGAATCTCCTGGTTTTAGGCCAGCATCTTAACCACTATCCCTGACTGGCTAATCTATGATTTTCCAGTTTACTGGCCAGAAAGTTCTGAAAGTTTAAGCCCACATATCTTAAAATGTCAAAGGTTGAGAAACATTGGCTTAGAGTATGGTATTAAGGATGAAATATTTCATATAACGGTAATAATCAGAAGCAATTTCAATGTTTATAAATAATTTTTAATAATCACCATTTGGTTATGGTGGAAGAGAATTTTAGAATTTAATATTGCTTTCACTTATTGTTTTTAGTATTTTTTGTTTTCTTCTTTTCAAAAGATTATGTGCATTTAAGCATGAAATTGTTATGAATATTACAGCTTAGAGTTCTGTAGTGGTACTGTTTTTCAAGACAATACAAGGGTTTTAATTTTTATATATTAAATTATCAATGAAATAATAAATGCTAAATTTTACAACAATTTAAAATTCTCTGTGTATTTGCTGATGTTTTATTTTCTATCCACAATGTCCTTTCTCATTTCCTTTTTTTCTTAGTCATTTATTTCATTCCTTAACTGTTTTAAATACTTGGTGTTTTGGTAAAGCCAGGGTCAAGGTTGTTACTGACGCATGAAAGAGCATGTTGAGAAAGGAAAACTGAAGTTTAGCTGCACTGTGGGACAGCTGTATCAGTTAGAAATAAGTATTTTGTACATCAAAGAGGCTGTATCTGCAGGAGTGAAGATAAACAATATTTGATAAAATATTTGTCACTGCTTCTTTTTAATGCAGATGTTCAGGTAATTGTTATTGTAGCTGTTCTGCCCCCCCTCCAAACATATCCAACAATCTTTTTATAATCTCTGTCTGACGTAGGTATAAACAACAGTGAAAACAATGCTCAAATTGTAGCCATTAAGTTTGAAGTTACAATAGAAGAGAATATACATAGCTCAGGATTGAACTGTGGTGTCCTTGGGGCGTTAAGGACTACAAAGTTTGAACTTAGCTTGAAGTTATTGTTTAATGAAGTGTGGAAGTTCTATACTGTTTGGGGAAACACAGATTCAAATTTTCCAAGGGTGATAGGTGCCAATCTCTTATTTTTCTTTACTTCTCAAAGAAAAATGACTGTAATAACCTGGTTCTAATTTTATTGGTTAGGAATTTTTTTTTTATATGATGATGTCAATCTTTTATTTTATCTCTGCTGCATAATTTTGATGTCTCTCTGCCTACTGGCTGTCCAGAGTGGTTGAGAGTTGGGCGCCACACACATTTATAGTGGAGGAAATAAAACTAGAATGGAGATGGCACTCCTTCCTCCTCTCCTCCCATCTTTTCGACATGACCATGCTAAAATCTTTGATCTCAAGCTCAAATCTTCATATATTTGCCCAATCCTATTAGACCCAAATTGACCCTCTTGCTTTTCACCAAGAAAGCCCCTCTAAATCTCATCTAAGACAAAGAGTAGAAGCCTCCTCACCAGTAAATAGTAAAATCCAAGGACAGCTCTTACAAAAGAATGGCAACCTAGAAAAACTCCACATTCCAACCTCAATCAGCCTGATGACTTCACCATTCCATCTCCTTTAATAAGAAACTTCTCCACTTTGATATTCTCAGGAAAGGCCCATGTTGCCTAACAATAGGCATATCTGTTATTTACACACACACACACACCAATATACCATCAAGGACCTACCCAGTTTCCCCCAAATTTGTCAGCCAATAAGATCCCTAAGAATGTAGGGCAGCCCCCAGCTTCTTGCCTTTTATACAAGAAGTTGCTTTATAGAGAGAAGACTGCCGACTAGAAAGGTTCTTCTCTAGAAGCACTCAGTCTTTTGACTATGTTTCTACAAAAACATGAATCTATAATTAATTTCAACACACAAACACACACACACACACACAAACACCAGACTATATGTTTTGTAGTTTTAGCACCTAAAAATATAAACATGTCATTCAAAAATTCAGTGGAATTGAAATATACAAACCACAGGAAGATGACATCTTTTAAAATTTCAGAGTAATTTTATTCTGACAACAAAAAATATTTTAATATGGGTATCTCATAGAACTACCCAAAAATAATTTTCCATGCCTGAGGATCTGGATATTACGGTACTAAGCAAACCAACTTTCCCTCTTGTTATTGTCCACATTTCTGATGTGGAAAATGTGGAAAAGATGACCAAAAGTATTCTTAGTAGCTCATTATCCAGGATTCTTTTGAAGGATAAATTATATTAAATTTATAAATGATAAATTTGAAATTGGTATAATAGGTGAGACTGAAGCTCTGTGACGCTCTTCTTTTTCAAAGCTCTTCTAGCCAAGCTTAAGCTGAATAGCAAATTCATACAGAAACAGCTTTATAAGAACAAAATACTCTCCTTGAATCGTAAACAAAACAGGCGTGTATGTGGATCACCTGAGGTCTACAGACCTGCAAATTTATTTTGCTATGTTTATATAGCTGCTTGTCTCACCAAGAAATTGTTCCTCTCTGATCAGTTAATAATTGATGGCATGATTTTCTACCAATAAGAAACACCCCAAAATGGGACATGCCATTAAATAGGCTTGATGTGGCTAAAAATAAATTCTGCCATCAAAACCCAGAAAACATTTTATCTGTTTAACCTTATCCATTTTGCACTATTTCACCAACTGCGTTTCTTATTTTCCCAAAATACATGGAATAGAAGGTTGCCTTTGCTAAAAAGCTTCTGCTGAATGTTAACTCAATATTTCAGCACAAAAATCTTATCTTCCAAACATCTTCATACTTCCTTCAATTAATGTTTTTAAAATTCTTCAACATCTTCCCCCTCAAAAAAAATTCCATTGGGGTTGGGTGACTAATAAACTTATAATTATAGAATTGTGATGATGATTCCAAATTAAATAATATTCTTTGTAGATAGTGGTACATATGGGATTATTCTGCACAGGCAGTTATAATGCATGCCATCTACATTAACAGAGTTGGTGCTAAATGACCATACCCTAACTGTGAAAGCCCTCACTGCATTCAGGAAACACTGCTCAGTAAATGATGCAATCCAGGCAGAAGATTACCATGCATTTCCTTGCTGGCCTGGCTGAAATGAAGCAATATGTCAGGTTTAAAAAGGAAAGGAAAAAAAGAAAAAGAAAATGGCATTTAAAAGAAGCTAAGAAACTTATTCCAATTTACACAGTCTGTAATTTAACCATGTTTACATTCTGAATGCAAAACTGTTCCAGTTTGAAATAACTCTTTGGACTGAAGCTTTGTCTCTGTGTATTCTAATTACCAGGAAAAACACAACAGAATACAGAGAAAAACACAAAAACATGCAGCACCCAAAACATTCGTTATATCTTTTAAGTGCCACCTGAACCTTTGTTGTCAGATTCAGACATTGATAGAAATGTTTTGTGCTTTACAGAGCACCTTCCAAAAGTTGAAATTCAACTTTTACATTAAAAAGAGTTTTGTTCCTGTTTTAACATGTTCTTGTTTCTGCTTTACCTGTGCATCTGGAAATATGTCCCAATGAACTTAAAAGGGGTTTCCCCCGAAAAGTGATTATTATAGATTATGGCATTCACGTGTTGCCCTTTATTAATTTGCCATTTTTCCTCGATTTTTAATTTTATGATGACTTGCATACTTGTGTCTTACCCCTTGTCCGGATTCGCAAAAAGAAGATGGGGGGGGGGGGGCGGACCCTACGCAATTTGCTGGGTACGTGATCCCAGGTAACTGTCATTTAGTAAACCCTAATTCAGTTAGACATAGGTCCTTGAAATACGCACTCATAGCCGTGCAAAAGATTCATTAAAATAAATAAATAAATTAGGAGTGACCTCCCGTTTGGGGACATTAAACAGAGCACATCGGAATTTATTTTAAAGAATTTTCCCTTGCACAAACGAATGGACAAAGCATGCAAGGTTTGGGTGACAGAAGATTCACGGAATCCTGCCTTTTCCTCGGCGGGGATCATGGGAGTTGAAGTCCAAAACAAACTGGAGAACTCCAGGCTGGGAAAGCTGCGCCCTCCAGCTGTTCTTTCTCACCCCCGGAGAAAGCCGGCCTCATCGGAAGCTCTCTCCAAATTACGACGCTCGAGAATAAGAAAAAAAGCGCTCGGCTTTGAAGCGGCTTCCGCCGCGCCTAAGAGGAACAAAATTGCTAGCGCGTGTGAGCGAAGGAGGCCCAAGGACAGCTGGGCGGTCTCCTGGCCTCGCCCACAGCCACACCTTTAGGCGGGAATGGTGGCGGAGAGCCCGTCGCGCGTGGCGGCGCCCCACTCGGGGTTGGTAGCCGCGTGGACGCGCTCACAGGGCCACCAATCGGCCGTTGGGGTTCCCCGGCACGCGCGCCTCCTTCTGTTTTTTCCACTACCGCTCGACGCTTTTGTCTTTTTCCCCGTGACGAGCCAGCTGGAGGTGGAGAAAGAGGGAGGACGGAACTGAAGTGGTTGTTACGAGCAACCGCTCCCTCTGTGCCTCCCCCCCCTCCCGCCCGCCTTCCTCAACCCCTAGGCGGCTTTTTTGTGTGTGTATGTGTGTCATTACACTTTCCCTCCCCTTCTTTCATTCACGGCAGTCGAGAGGGAGGAGTCACTATAAGTAGCGGCGGGAGCGGTTGTAAGAGAGCGCAACGCGAGGTCGCCCGCTGTGAGCCTTTTTTTTTCTTCCCCCGGCGCTGCCATCCTCGCGGCAGGTCCCGCTTCGCTTCCCAACTCCGGGTCTTCTTCGGCGTCCCTTTTTTTGCTTTCCCCTCTCTTCTTAATCTAAACCGGCTGTAGTAGAAATATCCCCGGCAGACGAGCTAGGTGAGTAGCCGATGGCGCTCCGGCAAGGTCCCTTTCCTTGCTCTGCCCTTCCTTTCTCTCCTCTACCATCCTCCCGAGTCGGGTGGCTTTTCCAGCCTTTGCCGAGATGCCCTGAATGAGACATTGCGGGTGGCGGAGAAGAGCCACACCGCGCGGCCAACGGTGGGGACCGCCCCGCTTTCTCCGTGAGCCGGGGTCGTAAGACGGGATACTCTTCAAACCGTGGCTCCGGACGATTTCCCCACCCCGAGCGGTTGGGACCCGATCGACGTGTACTTCGGCCGCCCAGCAACGTGCCAAGCTGGAATCCATTTTGCGAGTAGCGTGGTGCATGATGCAATGTTTATAGCGATGGGCGATGTGGAGGAGGGCGGAAGCATGCGCCCTGCCTAGGTGGATCGAGCACGCGGGCTGGCGAAGCGGGGCTGGATCGGCTTTTCCGTTTTTCTCTCCTGCCGACCTTCCCAGGGCGCTTTTCCAGGCGATCCCTTCCAGCCTCGGATCCTAGGCGCTGAGCGGCTTAAGCTGACAGGGTTTATTAAGGGATGACAGAAGTCCTTCCTTAAATGGTCCTTTCTTCGGATCGTGCAGTGGCCGAGTTGGGGGGGGGCGGGCGACGGTTCTTTATAGTGACTCATCACTTAAAAGTCCAACAACTGCACCCTTTCATCCTTAATTTGACTCGGGTTGGTTTCGATTCGGGATATTATTTCCTTCTGATGCAGCTGTAACCTACGAATTAAATAAGATGTTCTGCGTTTATTTCTGTGAAGAAACTCGTGTTTGCCTTACTATTTAATGGAAAGAGTATAAGGGAGGTTGATCAGTGTATCGTTAATGGTTGATTTTATGAATCTTTTTTTTTTTTTTTTGGTGATCTGTGAAGGGGACACAAACAATTGCTCTAAACAATATATATTTCCTAGGCAAATTACACACAAAGTTCCAAAACTGGTTTCCTTCTCTGGTGTCCTGCCTCCTGCAGTGGAAATTTTGACTTTGAAAGGAATTATGACTCCTTTGCTTAAGTTTGCCCAGGAGTTACATTATTATATTATTATAGTATCAAGAGATTGACTTCCTACTACCCATCATAGCAGCTGTCACCATGAAATATACTATCCTGTCTCTTTCTTAATATAAGGGTGAACAGCCTATGGCCCCATCTTTTCTGTTCCCTGACCATACTGCTGAGTTGAGTTTAAATTTTATTAAAGGATGAGAATCAAATACAAATACAGTAATAAAGCCATGCAGATTTAAAGAAAACATAAATAAAAATACAGAACAAATGAATAAACAGAAAAAGTAAATAAAGAAAAAGAGAAAACATATAAAGAATCTGTTTCTGATTTTTACAGCAGTTACTAATAAGATTCATCTATCCTCCCTCTTTTAAGATTACATTACAATTCCCTTCCAATATTCTATCCTTTTGACTCATCAAATCTATAAGCCACCAGTTCATTTTTTCCGCATTTTCAACATAAAAGTCCATAAAGGATTTGCCAATCACTAATAAATGTACTTGTTATCTTCTCGATCAAGAAGTTAATTTTGAGTTTTGGCAAATACTATCATCTTCATTAATTGTTCCTTCATGGTGGATATTTCAGAATATTTCCATCTTTCTGCATATAGCAGTGTTGCTACAGCTACCATGTACAAAAACAATCGACCATGAGACTTTCCATACTGCTGTGTTTTAATATGGTGGTTACTTGCCATTTTGTGGCATGCAATAGATTGAAACTCTCAGGTAATTCCTAAAGTAAACTTCATCCAGTTTTGAAAAAAAAACAAAACAGAAGGCCATTGTCACTAAAGATGTTAGGTGCCTGCAACCAAAAATTTCAACAGTGATCATCGTGCTGGTGACCCTCCACTGATTTTGGCTACATGAACCACTTGTGAGTACTTAGGTTTCAAATGACTCAGCTTGCTGTAGACTGTCCAGTCTTTCTAGATTTTGTCATGGCTGGATGGATGGCTAATAATTCATTTTTTTTGTAATGAGAGGAAATTAAAATTTTCTGAAGGCTGGAGCTATTAAAGTTATAGGAGATGAAAGATTTTGTTTCACTCACTTTCTGTTCCCTTGGGTGGGGTGTAGTGGAAATTAAAAAAAGGAGAAGAGGTATGCCAGAGGAGTCCTGACTCTTGTATTTTTGAAGATTGGCAGAGAGTATTAATTTCTAAGTGATCCTCTTCCTTGGTTGTAGATGACCCAAGGAACTAGAATTAACCCGAGTTATGGTGAGGGAACTATATCATTCAATGTCAGTTTATGATTGGAACAATCTGTAAGCTATGTAAAATCAGATCAAGTAGGTTACTCAACAGCAAACTGGTTGCAAGCTTTTCTGGTTTGCCATGAACCATTTATTTTGCACAGATCCAAACATTATACATAATGCTAGTTCAAAGTAGTTTGGTTTGCTGTTATGGCTCCTTAAGAAGTCATCATTTGTCTGAGTTGTACATTACAGCCTGCAATCTATTGTTAGGACTTTAAAATATTCTTAATGTATGATAGGAAGATAGAAATGTGCAACCCAAACAGATAAACAACAGGTTATGCATACTACCTTACTATGTTTGAACCCTGCCAGTGAAATGAACCGACATTAAAGTTTTGTCATTCTTTGATTGACTATTTAATTCTGAAACTTAAGGGAAGAAAAAGATTACTAAGGTTAAATAAATAAAGAGTGAAACTTACACATGTGTGAACTGGTACAAATGAATGGGGACTTTGATGCTTTTATTATTTCTGCAATTATGATTTTATAATTATAGTGTAATTATCTCAAAACAAGCTCTCAGCTTTGTTTATGCTTGCCTTTTGAAGCATTTTGTCTATTGTTAGGACTAAGTCATGTTTTTTGTCATTTATGGAATTAATGTACAGAACTACAGCTGCAGTTTCATTGATCTCCAAGGTTCATATATAGAGCATAGACCATGATGCAAAATTGCTGCAACTGTCACCTACTTACATTAAGTTATATTGAGCTTCCTGTTATTATTGAGAAATATATGGTCTCAACAGAGGAATAATCAGACTTTCATTTATTTGGTGTTAGTAAGGATCTGCTCCCAGGTAGAAGGTGTCAGAGAATAAAAGTAAAATAAAAGAGAAAACAGAGTGATACGTTGGCAGTATGCACACACAAGCATGCAGCTCCATTCGAATTCTTAGAATGATTTGGTAGGAGAAACAGCATTGCTGCTTCCTAAGCTTCGATGCCCTCACCTAGGCCAGGCACATTCAGCCTTTGTCTAAAGCTGGTTCTGAACAGCTGTTATGGCATACAGTCACACTTTTAATATTCCAGCATAACATTTCCCCTTTCTGTTTGGACAGAATGAACTGTGAGAAGATAAACTGAAAATTTAATTTTCATTTTCTTTGTAATTAGCTTCCTAGTATTTTTTTTGGGGGGGGGGGTGACTTTTTCAATACATAATTAGCGACCCGCAATGGCTCTTGCTGTATAAATCTGCATGAATGCATCCTATTGCAATTTGCTATCCTATTCTACTTATCTATTTTTCATTATGCCTTAATTCCCTTGACAACTGCTTTCTTCCTTTCTTTATGGAAATCACTTGCATGCCTTCTCAATTAAGTACAAAATTAAAATAGAAGAGATCTATCTTCTTATCACTTGCTATAATTTGTAGCATTAATGTTCCTTTTACAGCATATGGAATTGTAGTTACAAATTTGTATCCTTATGCTCATGTGTGGAAATGATCCCAGCCACGTGATTTCCTGGCTATATAGTGACTTCGTGCCCTTTATTAGCTTTAGTACGGATATCAATTGTGACATTCTTTGGTTTAGACTATTACATTACAAGACATATGGACCAAAATAGGTTATTTAGATTACCAACTGAACTGAGCAGTTTCTACTATATCAGGTCTATATGTCATCAACTGTAGTAGCTTCCAGTCCATTTCCACACCCATTTTTAAGTGCAAGTTTTAACCTATAATGGTATGCAAAGTACAGCATATTAAAAATGGGTGCCAAGCTCATGCTTGGTCTGTCTTTTTGAGCAGCTTTAAGATACCCATATCTTTTATCTTTTATATATGCCAGTTTGAAGATATCCTTTCACATTAACTGATGATGTGATGAGTTGTCAGGTAGGTATTTATAGTAATCAACTATAAATAATGTTTAATTTAACCAACAAACACCAGTTTCACGGAAGAAAACTGATATTTCCCTTTTATTAAATTCTGTGGGTTTTTTGATTGTAGACCAGATTTGGAAGTTTAACAGCTTGTCTTGGGCATTCTCTCAAAATGACTAGCATGGATAATGTGCTCAAGCACAAAATATTAAAACAGATCTTAACACCTTCTTGTTTCCTTAACTGAAACTGTTTTACCAGCTCGGTTTGCTTTTGTCTTTTTACTAGGTAGATGGGCATACTTTCAAACAAAGCTGCAGTCCTCAACCATTGGCCTTTAGAAAATTATTTTCCAATAGGAATATAAAGAATTCCCAATACCCTCTAAAACATGCTACCTCTCCATTAAAAAAAATCTAGAAAAAGTACCAGGTAAGGCATGAAGCCTGGTTAGCATCAAAGAAGGTGTCATATCGGAACCATACTCATTAGTGAATAGACCACCTAAAGTTTATGCGGGGTTGACCAAGCAAAATAGTTTACACATTTTAGCCTTGTCTAATTTGACCCTAATCAAGCTTGTACTCTGATGCTCTATTCCGGGACAATAAACTTTGATTTGAACTCTCGGTGTTTGTAGCTGCAGAGAGAAACAGTAGTCGGCAGTCTTCTCTAATGTCATGTCTTCCAGATATGCTTGGAGCTTCCAGAACTCCTGAGAATTCTGTAATGTATTTCAAGAAGCAATAATAGTAGAGATGGTGTCATGTTAATGCTTTAAAATCTATAAAGGGGTGGTAACTTAACATTTGTAGACTTACTAATTATCTCAAAGCATCAGGAAAATTATTC